TGTAATGACTTCGGGCAGGAGAGAGAGCACTGCGTACGAACGATAGTGCTCAAAGGGGAATAAGATAAAGTTACACATAACATCTAGATTGAGCTTCCTTCTAGAACATATTTGTCAAATACAGCAGGATCTGCCTGTATCCAAAAGAAAAAAAAAAGGGGGTTTCCATTAAAACTTAGCATCATCTGCTCTCTATGCTACTGCACTCAGGAAATCTCAGAGAATTCCAGGAATATCATTTGACAAAAGAGATGACGCAATGAGCAAGTCCTGGGTAGTGGGTGGAGCCTCTGGTACCCCCTGTGATTAGCACCCACCTGCTTAATTCTGACAGGCATCCTATTCAGGTTTCTAAGGCACACGAAACAGAACAGAACAAAAATAATTGGCATAGCCTCAGTGTTTCATGGTTCATGCATTCACACAAGAAGGTTGAATGAATATTTAGAACCAATGAACATCTCTTATCACAAATCATATGCATTTTTAATATGCACTCTGTCGTTTCTTTTCACAAAGGATGGTAAATCTCACATTTCCCCACTAACTTTCAAAGGACACAGCAAGTTGGCAGTAGTGCTCATTGTGTGTGTGTGTCACTCTGCTGATATACCTTGCACCAACTGAAGAAACTGACCCTCACTTGTCCCTGTTTCTGTGAGCCTGTGGCCTTGCAGGGTCAAAGGGGAATTCTGGCTCCACATTCTTGCAAGCCTTAAACTTCTCTTTCTTTTACTTTTGTTTTTTAATTCCTCCCTCCTCCTTTGTGAGATCCCAAGCATCTCACAAACTTTGGTTCCTGGGAACACCTAATTAACTTGGGGATAATGTTTTTTCTTTATTGTGCTGCAAATTTCAATTGGCAACTGTTCTTTCTTTTAATCTCAGGTTTATACTAAAAATGTTTCTGTGTAAAAGTGACTGACCTGTTTGAGTCATCCAGGAGTAATGATAGCTCAAGAGAAGATTCACTTTCAGCCTTATCAAGGAGGGGAAACATCAGCAGTCCTTCCTGCATACCCCTGCTGTGACGGCCTCCAGGGAAGGCAAAAACCTAGTTTAAGTAATTATTTTGTAAGAAAATATTTTGTTCCAGAAAGTTTAGGTCACTCTTTAACTGTTCATTTGCCCTACTTTCATCGAGGAAATATTTTATGAAAGAGGAACAAGTAACTGAATGTGGGGCCCAGCAGACAAGAGTGCTTGCTACCAAGTCCGAGGACCTGAGTTCAATCACTGGGGACTCACATAGTGGAAGGAGAGAACGGATACACACATATTCATCAAGTAAATAAATAAATAAATAAATAAATAAATAAATATTTTTTAATTAAAGAAAAAAACTGAAGTTGTTCTTTGGGGGAAGCTTAGGATCTAAGTAAATAGGAAAATACTTGCTAAACCACATATGTGATTATAGCTTGTATGTATATATACATTAACTACAAGGAAAATGCATGTTAATATTAGAAAACTTGAATGGGAACGGGGAGAAGGCACAGTCAGTAAAGTGCAGCACTCATGTTAAATGTAAGCTTGGGAGCCTGTGCTGTGCCTATCAGCCCAGGGCTGGGGAGGTGGAACAAGAGGATCCCTGCGGTTTGTTGTCAGACCAGTCTACTGAATTGGTGAGCTCCAGGTTCATTGAGAGACACTGTTTCAGAAACTAAGGGAAGAGTGATCTGCAATCCAAGAAAATAGCCAACATAGACCTCTGATTTCCAAACACTTGTAAAAACATGTCCACACATACCTGGAAACATACATGACCACATACACAGTAAAGAAAATTTGAAATGTATACAAAAGTATAAAAATATAACTCCTGAGTAAACATGCATACATCTCCATATATTTGGCTATAAATGCTATACATTCATCTCCTCTCTATGAAAAAGTTTATAGACTTTTCGTTTTGATGTTTGATGACTGTCTCATATCATCTCAAATAAGTAGAGATGTGCTTTGAAGCCATGTGTAGATGAGAACTTGCAGCAAAAGTCTCAGAGACAGAAACTTTTTGACAGACCCAACTGTCTATCTTGTGCTCTGCATCCTGGAGTTTGGCCATGCTCCTAGTCATGTAAAACCTGTTCTCCTTCTGCCATTCTATTCTTTGTATAAGTTAGAGAGATGTTATAGAACAAATGTTAGAAGTTTGCTCTTTATTCAGGCAACAGTTCAAGGCAGGGTCCATAAAAACGAGCAGCTTTCTTCCAAGTCAGGGAACCAGGCTTCTCTGTCTTTTGGGTGTCTGGTCCTTTATTATATGTATTTATTCTTGTGTGTGTGTATGTGTGTGTGTGTGTATGTGTGTGTGTGTGTGTGTGTGTGTGTATACACACTCCTATTACAGAGCACATGTATACATCAGAAGACAACTTTTAGGAATCAGGTTCTTGCCTTCACCACGTGTGTGGCGGGAATCAAGCTCAGGTTGTCAGGCTCGGCAGTATATGCCTTTGACTGCTCAGTCATTTCACCGGCCTGTTGTGCCATCTTTTAAAGCTTTGAGGTCTTCTGGGTTTCAGTCTGAGTATGATCAATAGGAGAGAAAAGAGCCTCCTATATCTTGAACATCTCAACTTAGGGAGGAAATCCACTCACAACTTTTGGATGCAACAACCTGAAAAGGTCCACCAGCCCTAGAGCTGCATTCTGAGGTGGAGCACCACCTTGTGGAAGGAAGCACAAGCCAGCAATCCCTGCCAATCACATGCCACCTCCACACAGCCCTGGCTGTTTAACTTTCCTGTGTTCCCCTTCCACTAACTCACTGTGTAGGTTCCCTCACAGCCCGAGGGTGTGATAACACTTCAGGTGTGTGCCTCTGCCCCTTGATACTTCCCTATTGTCTATAAAGTTTTCTCCTCTATTATGAACAACTTAACGTTTCATGGTTTTCCTCTCTGACTTTCAGAAAAAGAACTGGACTGTGGTATATTTTGGTTATAGCAACAGACCATTTTAGCTGCCACTGGCCTATCTGTGGCATTGATGTCCATGTGGCTACTGTCCATATTTAGCTTCATCAGGAATGGCTTTTTTTTAAATTTTGGGGTGGGTAGGTGGTTAGGGTATAGAGGAGGGGTCTCATTGGAGCTTTTCCTCAAAAGATCTATGGCCATAATGACTGTAGTTGTCTGTCACATACTGTTCTCTTCCCCTTTGGAAAATATCAGACACAGTGAAACAATATTTTCTCCTCACCACAGAGAAGGTTGGTCCATGCTGTAGTGATATAGTGGGTATTCCCTTAAGAAAATGCATAACCACTATGTGGGATTCTCTGTTCTCTAAACTTCTACATCCTTATGTTCCAGAAATGGTCATAGTTCCAGATGATAGTTAAAACTTTCTTCCCCCATGTAGAAACACACTTGACATTTCAGTTTCCAGGGCCTAGTTCTTTACTTCAGTCTGCAATCGCTTCAAGGAGAGTATGATGTTTTATTTCCTTTTGTGCTACTGTGGCAGAAACAACTTAAGGATCGAAGAACTTCTTTCACCTTAAAATTTCAGAAAGTTCAACTCATCACAGTGGGAATGGCAGGGTAGAAAGGCTCCATCCCCGGTGGCAGGGGGATGGGGCTGAGAGACTCTTCACGTGGTGGTGAATCAGAAGGGAGAGTGAGCAGCAGAGCCAGAGATAGTTAACCATTTTCAAAATCCTGCCTCTAGTGACCTCCTACTAGTCAGGCTTACCTCTTAAAAGCTCCACAGTTTTCAAAATAGTGCTACAAGGTGTACAAGGTTTAACCCAGCATTCAAAAATGAGCCCACAGGGACATCATGGGTGAAATATACAGTTAGAAACAGAATCTTAGGAAGAGAATCTCTCTCTCTCTCTCTCTCTCTCTCTCTCTCTCTCTCTCTCTCTCTCTCCATAACCCTGCTTAAAAAGCCTAGCATACACAAAACTGTAGGTAGAATACCTGATCCTGGTGCCATACAAATTAAAGAAAAACTCTTTGAAGGAGAAATGCTGATTCATACTTGTTTCTTTAAAGAAAAGAATTCACATTTGGCTTGTCACTGAAAACTAAGGATGCATGGTCAGATTTAGGGTGCAGAGACTTTGGTCAGCCCTACTGAGTGTGTTTTTTTCTGCTGGTACTGCTTCAAGATCAACGGCATACTGGTTGTTTCCTATCCCCACAACTTTTAAGGTACACATGAATCTCTTTGTTGAAGTGAAAAGTAATTCTGTGGAGATATGGTTTTACTTGCTCAGGGTCACACAGTGAAGCACAGAACCAGCAAGTTATTTTTAGGTGTGCATCTCCATCCTATTTCCAGTATGTTGGTGGCCCCTCACTTTAAATGTCGATACATAATTCTATTTCCTGTATCTTAACTTCAAATATCAACCAGACTAGTCAATCAACATTTCTTGGTCAACAGGTGAAATAGGTTTGCAAAGACTCAACAACACTAGGATGCAGATATCAGTAGTTGCCTTTGACACAGAAAGAAACCCAGGGGCCTTACCACCCGGAATATACCTGGTCCTGTCAATTCTTGGAACTAAGCAGGGCTCAGCCTGGTTAATATCTGGATGGGAGATAAAGAACTTGCTCTGCTACAGTCTAGAAGTGGCACCATCCAGGATTTGAATAGAGATCTGCCTTCAATTCCGAGCTATTCCTATCTTCCTCTAAGTTCTTCACTACTTCAAAAGAATGCTGAGAGAATTATTTCCCATACCCTGCTCCTGGAGAAAGCCCTTAGATACTATTCTTTATGTATGAAGAACATATTAATGAAGTCATCTCATGCTTCTGACAGTGAACTGAAGCATCATCACCAGTTTGTCCTTCCTTTCCTTCTTGCCTTCCTTTTGATTGGAATACTTCTGCCAGAAAAAAATAGGCAAAATCACAACTTGCATAGAGACTTAAATACAATAACATTACTTTTCTTACTTTTATAATTATAAAGGGCCATGCAGACAATATAACCAGTTCCAAGGGAAGTCAAAAGAGCAGAAATGCCTAGGATCTACTTGCAAATATACACACTGTATAAATGAATTGGAAACCAGTTGTAAACAGAGACAATTTTTTTTTCATAAGGGTTGGGAAATGATGTTTTGCCCAATCTTCACTAACTAGGACAGAATTTGAATTGCTATCACTGATCTATAGTCTACAGAGTTAACAAATAGCTCAAAGATGGCGAACAGAAAGAACTATCAAGGAGGGAGGTGTGCTACAGTTTCTGTCCATTGAAACACATTTTGTTTTCCAGCAGGCCTTTAATGTAGTCTTGAGATGCTCATATGGAGCATTATATGCAAAGACAGACAGGCAATTTGAAATAAGCACAATGCAGTAGGCAGTCATGCTTATAACAGTGGATTTATGAATGAAGGAGATGTTCTTTTCTCTGCTGTGCTGAATGATCACTGATGAACATCCTGTAGGATTGGTAGAAGGCAGGCACCAGGAGGCTGTCAATGTTGAGAGAACTTCTGAAAAGAGACAAGATATAAATCATGGTCCCCTCCAGGATAAGGCCTGGAGCAGGGATGGGGTAGGATTAAGAGCCTCTTGCCTCCAGCCTGACATCCATAAGGGGCCAAAATTTCACTTTCAGAGCCTGTCCCACATTCAGTCACAAATTGCATGGAATTTTTTTTCTCTAAAGTTGCTATTTTTTGAAATCCAGTAATTATCTTGTAAGTAGCAAAATTATACTGACATGTGTCTCTTCCTATGTATACATATTTAATACATGAATTTGTGGTATAGATTAAATACCAAGCCTCATTAAAA